AATGTGTAATGTCTATTTCTATGCTAGTATTGACTGCAATGGTAATCAGTATGCATTTGTTCTAGTGTACAAATATCTAGTATTAATAGTAATAATTATACATCTGTCACCGTAACACCATAAGTTACAGCGTGCCATAATTTTGCGGTATTGCACTGGGTATTTTCATCTTGCCATACTAGAAAATTTGAATTCCAAATATGGAACGATTATGTGTGTAAGCGCCCTCTAATATTAAAAACAAACTTGGCAGCCCCCAGGGTTTGACCTGACTCTACACAAGAAAGTTTGCTGAATGCTTTTGGATTTTTGCATTTCCATGTATGCAAAGTATGCACTCAAACAATGCTGTATGCTGTTTTATTGACCTCCGTTGCGCGTCAGTCAATACTCCTGCTGTACTGTCTACGTGGATACTTTTTGGTATCCTCGTAATAACCTCATATACCTGTACTCTCAACATTTCATCTGCCATCATAAATCAGGACTATTCCTATAAATACATGTGCTCGCATTTCAACAATTCAGTTTACAAGGCTTAAACTTCATTATCCTGAAGACACCCAATTTCCAGCCATGCTTTGGTATAGTTGATAAAATGTATGTTGATTATTAGATTTCATCACTATGTACCTGTGTCTTTTCAGATTATTGACCCAAGTCAAGTTTATGATACTTTGAATTCTCAGAAATATGTGCAATGGCCAAATGAACATATGAAAAAACATGGTGGCAAAAACCACTGGAAAGATTGGACAGTGACGGAAGGTATGGAAGGAACTGTTGTACATCGTTGGATACCCTGCCATTTTGATTCAGCAAAGAGGTCACACATTGATAAAACGATATTATTGGTGCATATCGAAGATAAATACGTTCCTATATCAGAAAATGCCGTTGTGGATCTTGGTGCTGAAGTGTAGAACAACTCTTTAAGCTGACTACAAGTTACAATATTTGGATATGACTTAATTATGCATAGTGATTTATTTTTCAAAACATATGGATTTATTTACAATCAGTGTATTTTTCATCATATAAAAATAGTTTATACATACTCAGTGATATTGAACTTGGAAAAATAACATATACCAGAGGATCACATCTTTGCCGAATTTGTACTTACAGTTGGTAAATATGCAAGTATTTTAATGTCTTTGTCATTTGTGCTGATATATTTGATATTCTTTTATAAAAAAACAGACGTGTTTCAGAGACAGAAATACTATCATGCTGGAACAATAAAAAACTGTAAACATTTGTTTACATTTTGTGAAATTTACATGCCTGTACATTGTTGATTTCAAGTGATTATGTAAATTAAATTCATATCACTATACTACACTGTCTCTCATTCAGATTTATGTGAATTATGATTATGGTATTACCGGGTATGTTTAATTCCACAATGATGCTTTGACTGAACAATTCCGAGGATTTGGGGATAAACTTGGGCTAATCTGATGCTACTGTTCATATGCATATCTATTAATGTATCTGAATACTCAGTTAAAAATTACAAGATGGTTTTTCTCCACTTACCGGTAGTGTCTTGTTATAGGCCACTGCTTCCTGTTTAACTTGGCACCCTCTGACTTGACTTGAAGTTTGGGGAAAAGATAGCGTACGGTGAAAAAAGGTAATTTTCTCAAACATGAAATGCAAGTGGACGTGATTTTAAAGTAAATTTGATACATTTTACACGAGTTTCGCTTGCTTGGCATCAGACAAATACGATCATGTGATACTACTTCCCCGGATTACGTTCAGGCAATCTATTTCCTCAGGAACCCTTTCGTTGCCACGGGTTACGACTGCCATGTCACTTGAGGTACTCGAAGGTGGCAACGCAAACGCACTCCAGGTGATGTATTCCATTTCCAATCCATAATATCAGTTACTGGAAGTTTGCTCCTCTCTGCATACTTCTGTTGATTTGGTGTTCACTGTGTAAGTTCTGAATATAGTTGGGTACCTTGTAATACACATAGATAGGATTAATTCACTGAGCTCTGTTTATAAGATATTTAATGTAATGGCGGCTTCCACTGTAACTACTGCACATGTGTGCCTACAACATCATAAGGGACATTCCAATACTGTAAAATACTTTATTTTAGCTGGAAAGCCTTTTAGGGTGTTTTGTATGGAATTTATTTTCACTGATCTTTGGCGAGTTGAATGTAAAATAAAGGAAAAAAGCTATATTCGCTGGATTTTATTTTCACTGAATCATTCCTTCAGCGAAAATAGTGAAAATTAATTCCAAGTGAAAATAAAGTATTTTACAGTAGTTAACACTTAGCTGAACATCATTCACATAGTAGGAACCTCATGATGATTATTACTTGTGGCAGTCTTTGCCGAATTGCTGGAAGACTATCCAAGATACGTACACACTTTGCTTAAAGGCTGTGTTGAAATTTCACCAACCTGTCATAATGAGATAGGACCACAGTTTGATTCCCATTGAACAAGATTATTTTGAACTCGCATGTGCTTTAGTTCAAAGTGGGCTCACTAGATTAGGAGAACCATGTTTTGAAAGAAATGATATACCATAGTAGTCTTAAATTTGTAGTCATAATAATCATAATTTGTTTAACAGCTTGAAAAACAAGTCATCTGAAGATGACACAACCCCCACTTGTCAGATGTGATTATAGTTGGCTATGAATTATACAGTTTAAATGTATATGTATAAAATCAGGTGGGGAGATTAAGTTGAAAATCAAAAGTATGTTACTTAAAGTTAACAGCTAGGACATCTATTAAAATTGGTAAAATTTGCATCAATTTTACCAAAAATTCACAATCAATTGAATATGGAAATTCAATTGAGTTAATATTAAATAGCAAATACATGAACTATTACCGTAGTTCACAAGATATTAACAAAAATTCAAAATTTATTAAATATGCAGATGAGCTTGTTAATTAAATTGAAACTCAATATTGCATTGCATACGTCTTATATTGACAAATCAAGTTTGGTCAGATTTGGATTATTAGTTCACAAGATATTAACAAGAATTCAAATTAATAATTAAATATGCAAATGAGTTAATTAATTGATTCCTTGAAAAATAAATCAATGTGCATCTGTAGCAGTGGACACTCTGACTTTTTACCAAGTCTCAGCAAAATCAGTCCAGGCATCTCCGAGAAATGATGATGAACACACCAAAAAAAATGGATTTTACAGAATTTTGACATTCAAAATGGCTGCCAGGCAGCCATATTTGATCAAATCAGGAAATAAAGCCATGTGAATATGTATACCTCCTCACTGTGTCTTTGTACCGAGTATTGAAATCAGTCAAGGCATCTCTGAGAAATATCAATGGACAGACAAAAGCCTTGATTAACAATCAAAATGGCTGCCAGTAGGCCATATTTGATCATTTCAAAAAAGTAAAACAATAAATAAGTTTGTTTAGTGTAAGTAGATTTTCCTTGGCTTGCACATAAAAAGTATCGCTGGATTTTGTGTACCTGACAACAGGAACTTTAAATTACTAAAAAAAAATTGCTAGTGTGTTACTGTCTTCCAGCTTGAGGAAAGAAAAAAAAATGCAAAGCAATGATGAGGTGATGTTCATGCCCCCAGGATTTTGAATGGCCTAATTAACCCTTACAAGAAACATTCAGTACAAAACTGCTGACCACATGTTGTAAAAGAATATAAAGTAGATGAGGATAGTGCACTGGTTGTTGATAGCAAATGCATGTGCTATTGCATTTTTACCTGTTGCTTGAAAATGCAATATAAAAAGTGCACATTATGAAAAACATCACGTGGGAAAGGAATTCTACAGCAGAAGCAACAACCACAATTTTTGTTCCTAAGTGATCATGTGACGACAGTGCATCAAGGGAATTTGTGTGATAGAGGTTTATGGAAAACATGATATGTATGTAAAGTTTTGTGTGACTTGTAATATATTGAATTATATTTTGGACTATGTATGTCACAACCCTATGTAGAGACACGTTTTAATCCAAACATAACAAAACTATATTAAAAGTTAATTCAACTATATTAAAAGCAATTTACATATTAATTAGCCAATAGCATTTTTCAATGAAACTTGATACATAGGTGCTCAGGATGAGCCATATACATGTTTAATATACAGTTAAATTGTGTGCTCACTGATTTCCTAATTTGCATTCATGAATTAACCAATTTATATGTGTTCCACAGGTTTCTTGAATATTGCTCATTGAATGTCAATGAAATTTGGTACATAGATGATTTTGGGTAATCCACAGATTTGATTACATCAGCTTTGAAATTCATGCATATTAATTAACTACCTTATGTAAAT